TTATCAATCAGGGGTTTGGGTTAGTGAAGCTGCGCTAGCCATCCTTCAGTCACTCCGCCGGGCTAAAGCTAAGTTTGAAGCAGTTGAACTGGCAAATAGCGACAGCAGGCTTCATGCGTGTGAATGTCAGGATTCGTCTTTAGGTCCAGGCATGCCTAGTGTGATTGACTAGACTATGATAAGGGAACCTTCTCATTTATTATATACTCACATTGTGGTAACTTAGTTTGAGTTCNNTTCCTTAACAGCAGCCCAGTAGACGCCTGACTAGATCTGCATTACTTTCGCTGAGGATGTTCTTTGCATGGGTGACGGTAACAATCTTCAAAGATCTGAACACGCCGGCGTACAAAGACGGCGAGGAGCCAACCGCTAACAATGTAAGGGGCAAGCTGCTTCTTCAGTCAGTAGTATTGCTGAGGACTGAGGGTTCTTCCCATCTACCTGCTGAACCCCCCCTACCCACGGGGCTCTTCCGATTGCTTCCTGGCTCAGTGGCATGTACACTTCAATCTGGCCAGTAAGACATGCCTCCCGCAAATTCCAGCAAGCTTGCTCACAGTAAGAAGAAAGATCGAAAGGTTTTTATCATAATATTAAAAGAAGCTTGGCCGATCATAATGACACCGTTTCCCAATCCCTCGCGACTGGCAGGAGGTCATTCATGCGAACAAGGCCCAGTACTTTGCACCGGCGTGCTTGTCGGCCCAGTTTCGTGTAATATGAGGGTTCCTGCCAACGTCGTACTCTTGTGTGCTTGCCTGCGCTGGTTTCAAAGAATCGCATCAACACTCACCCTCCCCCCCCCCCCGGTTCTCATGAACGATTTCCTGGGCCAGAAACATGTTCACTGCTGGCAGTGTCTTCATCTTCCGCAGTGCGATGTGAAGCTCAAAAATCCAACTAAACTTGGTAACTAAACGGCGTTAAGCTGCTAAAGCTGTTCATGCCGGTCGCCCTCCCCTCAAGATAAGGCAAAACGGCAGGTCCGCGGTTGAAGACTTTCTTGCGCAATTAAGCATAGTTTTTGTGCAGGTTCCCAGGGAATACGGTCCTCCCGAAACGTTTTGAGCAGCAGGCTCCCCCATGAAGGCACTTGAGAGCCCTTAACTCAGGACCTATCAAAGGAATGGATAGAGTTAAAGCGACGACGCTTGTGGTTGTACCGGAAGCCCTTAACCCTAAACCGATTTTTGCTTTCAATTCTGCATTCCAGCCGGCCCATAACTGAAGAAGACTGTTGGCATGGACAGGGCCTTTCCACGCTGAGGGAGGCAGCCGGGCTGCACCAGTGAGACATTCCCACAATTCTGGGTGACTTGGGAGTCTTAAGAGCTTGTTTGGGGCAAAAGAAGGCAGCCATGTTTAGAAACAACTGAAGCAAGCGGAGGTTTGGTTGGAAGGCGTTTGATTACTCTGCAGCCCGTGCGGAAAGTTCTCCAGCGCGTGTCGCATGATGAGCCCGTTTGCCCTTTCAGAGAGCAACTCTTTCCTCGACAAGGTATCTGAACTGTTGTTCGCAGGCCACGTACTCCTTGTTCGTCGCGGGCATTGGTGCCTGGGCTAGAGAGCAAGACTTTCGCTGCTGGTTTCAGTGATCGTGAATGCTGCTCACGATTCTGACTGTGTGCCTCCAGCGCGTTAAATTAAAGTGTGATGGCCTGGTGGTTGTAAGAGCATCGCAACCGGACCTGCAGGCGAAGGCTTTGTCAGCAACTTCCTGCCGTCCTTCTTCACCTATAGAATATCAGGCACAGTGGTCCGCAATGCCCCTGCATGTTGCTTTTTCAACCTGAGGTCCTTCATGTAAGCTATAGTCTAAACTCCTTAAAAGGGGGGTATTTAGGGGCTTATGTGGGGGAAGGGGGATACTAGGAGTTTAGACTAGAGCTCATGTGTACCTAGTTTGGGTCATCCTTGTCTAGAGTGTAGTCAGCGTAGTCTATACTACTATCACATCCGCTGCTTCGCTTTTCATTCTTTACCTCAGCGGACCCGAGGGGATTTCCTAAGGATCATACTCCCTTACATCCTACTGACCCCCAAACCCTAAACTAAACCCTAAACACTAAACCCTAAAACCCTAGACCCTAAAACCCTAAAACCCTAAAACCCTAAACCCCTAAACCCTAAACCCCTAAACCCCTAAACCCAAAAAGTTACTTTGTGGGAGATCTGAAGGCATCTTTTGGCTCGTCTTCTTGGTCATCGGACAGATCTTGTGCCTGGTCCCAGTGAGTGGTAGTTCTGTTTGAAGCAGGGTTTGAGGTTTAGGGTGTAGAGTTTAGGGTTTAGGGTTTAGAGTTTAGGGTTTAGGGTTTGGGTAGGGCTTCATGACCATCTTGGTCAGTCTATATTTTGCTCCTTTTTTGGGTAGCTGGAAGTATCCGAATGCCCCTAAGCCTTCAACCTTACTCCAGCAGGAGTAAAAGGTATCCCCACCAACCTACTATAAAATCCTATATATACCCCGATATAAACCCCTATATAATAGTTTCCATTTCCTTCTTTGTTATCCTGATATACCCCCTATAAAGCCCCTTATAGAACCCGATAGTAGCTTCCAGTTTCTTTTCCATCATCCCTATATCACCCACTATAACCCCTTACAAAGGCCCATAGTAGCTTCCTTTTTCTTCCCATTATCCCTATATAGCCCACTACTATGTAACCCTGTGGTAGCTTCCATCTTCTTTTCAAATATTCAATAAACACAGTTTCCATTTCATTTTCCATTTTCTGGTCCATTTGATTCTGCACTATTGGGGTAATATATACCGATAATTTCGGGAACCCTTAAACCTAAAACTCTCAACCCCAGTATTCTGAAGGCTGCTCAACCTCGTCATCGATGCCTTTGTGGCAGCGTATTTGAAGGGCTCAGAGGAGGTGCACTGCAGCAAGCGGCCTGCAAGTTAGGGTTTTGGATTCAGGGTTGAGGGCTTAGGGTTTAGGGTTTAGGGTTCAGGGTTTAGGTTTCGGGGTTCGGGGTTCAGGGTTTAGGGTCCCAAGCGACTTCCGTGCTAATCAATCACCTCCCCTAGTAGAACCCCCCCCTCCCCCGCCCACCTAATGCTAAATACTCCGCCCTGTATGGTACTCTGTTGGGCGGTATTTGCTAGTAGGGAGGTGGGAGGGTGATTCTTGGATGGGAGGGGATTTTATTCTTGCTGCGATGCTGCAAAGAATGAAAGAGCAAATAGTGATGGGCCATGAACATGTGTTACTAGTGGATCGTAACAAGAACCAAGAAGTCGAAACAACACATCAGAAACAAGTTGCCCCTAAGCTCTTAAACAAGTCGCCCCACAGGAGCTCGACAGGAAAGCCTCTGCCCAGGCGGGGAGTTTTGTTGGACTTCGCAGCGCATGCCTCACATGCAGGTTGCTGTCTGTTGTCGACTTGACATAGGCGTCCATGAATTAAACCCTAGACCCTAAACCCTAAGCCCTTAACCCTAAGCCCTAAGGCCTAAACCCTATAATCTTCCCAGCCTCCACAGATCCGAGCTCCATTGCTATAGATTCTTTCTGCCCTGCCAGCTGTAAGGTTGAAAGTATGGGCGCTTAATATGGGCCCTTGGGCCTTTCGGGGGATTCTAAAAACTTTAGGGGTACATGTAGGATATATCATAGGCAAAATAAGGATCCCGGTGTTAAAGGCTAGGTCTAGGTCTATGCTAAGGCCCCGTGGTTTCAACCTTAGATCAGCCATTCCTGCGGTGTGAAGAGGCGAAGAGCATGCTTGGCGCCTTTAGGACTCTGTCAGAACCTCCGCTGCATTGGACAGTCCCAAGTCAGGAAAGGACGAGTCCTTGTATGTAGTGTCCTATTTAAGGCAAAGCTCCGGTGTGTATTGGGATCTACGGTCCACATGCAGGTGTAATAATCAGATTTAGATGCTCCACATGGTGATACAGATGAAGAGCTGCCGCAATCCTCTGCAAAACCCGGCAGTCTGCATGTTTCCGACGATTCGCTCAGATGCGTCTATTCATTTTTTGGAAGCCTTCTTTGGACAAGACGGGTCTCCAAGAGGGAACTCATTGCGCCTTGCGCCTCGTGCATATAAACTCAAGTCTGAGGCAGATGGCGACCATCGAATAGTGCCCGACGAGGTCTTCCTCGAGTTCGTAGAAGACTTGGGCAAGTCTCCTCGCATCTCGCTTGCATCTGCGTGGCCCATGAGCACTGACGACCTGCGTTGGACTTGGGTGAGCACTGGTTGCTGCTGAGAACTGGGGCAGAATGAGCATGGTGAAATAGAGAGAAGGCAGCAAAACGACAATGATGTTCGACGCACAACTATTGATCATGATTACGTCACCTTCTGTGGATGTGGTGATGGTAGCGGTGTCGGTAGACAAGAAGCAGACATCGTACCAATGAGCATCCAGGCATGTTCGCCATCGAGCGAGAAACAGCGGGGAGCTCGGCCAGTCAGCGAGACCACGCTAGCCTTTGCCACTTCCAGCATATTCCTCTTGTGGTTTGTGCAAGGCCTGATGCGGCGAGAGGGCCTTAAATGGTAATCAACTTAATATGGCAGTTTCCAGGGCATCACAACTGCAACAATGAGATGTTTCTTGTATCACAGCAAAAGCCCACAGCAATTCCCGACTAAGAAAGAAATGAATGCGCTTAGCTCGGCGCTTAGGCGAAGCTGTTGCTCGAGCACTTTGGTGAGGTCACGGAGGCATCCCTAATGTCAGAACCCTCATCCACCTAATATGAAAGACTCCCAAAATATTACAGTATACCACAATGCATACGTTGAATATTAGGGGGTTGGGGTCGGGAGAGACAAATTTGTTGATGGGGATACTCTAGTCCCAGCATAGGGCAAGATAAATCACTATATCATCCTTTCCGTTGTAGTGTTTTAAAACAAGATCATAATCTTGCTTGGTCCAACCACCAAATAAACACTACTCTCAAGCATTTAAGGCTGCCATCCTGGTGTAGTTCTTATCTGCACTTCTGCTGTTACTGTTATTCTTTTGAGCCTGCGCTCATTCAAGATCTTGCATTTTGCATTGAGCGTACACAGTCATGAAGTCATGGCTGCTACTGTTAAGCCCTAGCTTTGAGCTGAGCTGTGCAGGAGGTCGAACCATTGGCCTAAGACCAGGTTGGCGTCACCAAAATCTATACCCCAAACCCTACTTTCACGTTTCATATGGTTTCAAAGTGTGGAGAGGCGCCTCACCCCAAAGCAAACTTGTAGGCTGCCGCAAGCTTTTTTGCTGCTGCCGGGTTCATTGTGTCCTGTAGGGAGTTCCCTAAATTCCCTGTAATACGCGTCCCTGTAGTAGGGTTCCTAGCAGCATTTTAAGCCAAGTCCCAAACATACACCCGAAATAAACACTGTATGAACCCAGTGTCCGCTTTATTTCCCATCTTCTTTGCCATCTGATTCTCCGCTGTTGGGGCAATGTATTCGGGGGTTTTAGGCCGAGTCCCATGTTGTCTAGAGTTGGGAGGCTTGCACCTTGCCGGAAGAACCCCATAAACGAATCCCAATGTGCTCGCACGTGGTACTTTCCAAGAATCAGGACACGCCTAGATAACAAATTAAATGGCAGACCCCTTGTAGGGAGCCCCCATAAATGACCCTGTAATCTTTGGAAAGCCCCACTTCAGTTCGCAAGATTTTCAAGAACCAAGCGGTTCCGCCAGAAGCTCCTCATGGGCATTTCCAAGAATGATAGTTTCCATAAATGGGGGGGACCCCAACATCGACCCTTAAGTACCACAACCCCCATCATTGGGACCCTAGTTTTGGTAAGCTCCCAGATGAGGGTCTCACAGTAACCAAGGTATCATAATCCAGTTGACATGGACACAGGGGGGGTAGAGATGCATGATGTTGAACAAATCTCATTTTGTCCTCCTGTGGGACACCTCCCTAAACCCTAAACCCTAAACCCTAAGCCGCTTCAACCAAAAGCCTTTGGATGGCAGGAGAAGTTCTTGGATGCCTGTCGCGTGTTTCAGAACCCGATCTGGTCCACACCCAAGGACAGCACTCCGTTGCGCGAGTCCCCCAGGATAGCCGTGCCCATAGGGATTCTGGGAGAATCTATAGATTGCCCGGATCCCGGCTGCAGGAAGATTGATTTTTAGAAGTTACCCTGTCATGAATGGCATGGTTATTCACTGGCGAATTGGATGAAGTTTTGCGTGATAGTTGTGTGGCAAGACGGGCCCACAGATGTAGCCGCAGACCTGTCATGCTGTGAAGTACGTACAGTAGATTATTCATGTGCTTCGCTGCTTGGATGGTCCATGGAGTCAACGCACTGCAGCTAAGCACACCTTCGGTAGCCGCTAGCCGCTAGACAGAGCAAGAGGGAGAAAAGAGCCAAAGTCCGCAGAGTGCGTTAGCGGATAAAGGAAAAGAACATGGAAACTACCATAATGGATTTTATAGGGGTTATGTAGGGGTAATATTGGCGTTATATGGGGTGTGGGGTTGTCCTGGCCGCCTCAACAAGTCACCAGAGATGCTTGGCTAGTGAGTTGCATCCATCTGATATGAACAGCATGTCCGCCCCATGCACGCTGTAGGACTCCTGCATGAAGCTGAGAGTGCCTCGCTTGTGGGATGAATCTCGGTACACCTGGCTGAGGCGGGAGGGCAAGGGCAGCCGTGATGGATATGCATAGCTCTTCTTGAGATTCAGAATGGAAAGGCCTCAAACACCTCAAAGTCTGTAATGGTGATGGGATGTGGTGGGTCTGTAAGAATTTCATGGCGAGGTTCAGCAGAAGCGAACTTAAGCACGTCTGCAACAGAGGGAACACGAAATCCTTCAAACTCGGGTACTGCCCCCACTCATAAACAATACTTTCAATTGAATTGTATAAAGCCCCCTATTGTAGACTGTTAATGGGTGGGGGCAGGACCCAACTTCAAACGCTCTTGAAGGCAGATCGTCTGGGAGCCCAGGGAACTCCCAGCTTTTGACGTCTTCATGAACCAGGCGCTACGGTATTGTTATCCCAGTCACTGCCATTCAGAGTCTGAAGCCTGATTTCACGAGGAAAGCGCTGTATGTTTGGAAGAGTGGCTGAATTTCCGGTAAGATAAATTCAAAGGAGTAGTAGTAACCTGGTCCTTACAGCGATAGCGATTAGCGATGTGACGGCAAGCTTTAATGCCTGCCAAGGAGGCTGACAAGGTATGACCTGGCCTACCCGGGATACCTAAACTTCCGCAGTTGCCAGTACCTAAAATCACGTGCAAAATGTCGTTCCCTATGGTGCCCATTAAGTAGATAGAATATGGGGTATACGGGGATCTTATTATGATATACCCAAAGCCAGATTCTATCTACTTAAGGTCTACTATCAACCCTAAACACTATGAAGCTGTGAAGGTTCTGCTTGCCAATCTGGTTCTGGTTCTTGCGCAGTCGGGAGCTTTGCAAGCTGAACTTGCTTGGGTTGATGTTAGTCATAAGAGTAGGAGTAATAATGGTAACAACAGTAGTAATAGTATTTCTTAGAATAGCTTTATGCATTCTGTTACCACGCTGCGCATACATTCCCTATAGGGCCATTAGCAAGGTTTTCTTTAGGGCCCCTAAACCTACCCAGCTGGGGCAACAGGAAGTACACTGAGAACATCTGAAAGTCTGGGATTTCCTAAATATGCGAAGGCAGCCAGAAATCAAGGGACCAGGAATTTGAGACCCCTCTTCCCGGCCCTGCTGCATCTTGGCCTCCTAGGTCTGCATACAACCTCAATGGTTGGGGACCTCAGCCAGATGCTTTCAAAGTGCTGGACCTCGTCTTCGCATTTGCCTACGTGGGCCGGGGACCCAGGGACTAATAATCCCAGGACCCGCCTGAAGTAAGGGTGCTGCAGCAGCTTGGCCATGGCGAGCATCACAATGTTATTAGGGTTTAGGGTTTAGGGCTTGAGTTGCACCAGGCGAAGTCTTGATCAAGCTGTCTGCGCCGCGCTCAGTCTGCAGCTGCTGGCGCCAACTCTGCATTGGCTCTTGTTTTCTCTGGCCTAGCCTTGCAGCGGTTGGCATGCATCATAGTGCATCCTAGCGAGTAGCTGTAGGCTCCAGAATAAGGGGAATTCCAGCTCGAATTTCTGACGCCCGCATGTGAGGTGAAGTCCTGGGCGGAATACTGCAGCTTTTGGGCCAACAAGCTGCTTGGCAAGGAGCCTCCTTAAGAATCATGTGACTGATGTGAACTGTAGTCGAAATTCCTTAAAAAAGGTGTAATATAGGAGAGTATTATAGGGATATGGGGATACTAAGAGTTCAGACTATGGTTCATGTATCAGCCAGTAATGCTAGCCGACTTGAACGCCTCATATGAGTAGTGTTTTATTCGGGGGCCCCTATAGTCCCCAATATAGAGTAAGATCATATCCTCCTTTTGGCTACACATTTTTTAAAAAAGGAATATAGTCGTAATTGGTTCATCCACCCCCAAAAACGCCACTCACATGTCCCTGACTGGTGTATGATTAATATTAACATTCTTCTTAGTATTTCTCTTATTCTTCTTGTTATTGGCCCCATCGGCCTGTAACG